CAGCATCCCAGAGGGTTACAGCAGAGGGATAGTGACAGAGAGGGAGAGACAGACAGGGACAGTGAGTGACAGAGGCAGAGTCAGGAGCGACAGAGTGAGCAGCAGAGACGGAGAGAGGAGTGCAGGCCGAGGGACAGGGACAGGTGAAAGGTGAGGCGCAGGAGGAGGGAGGCAGAGACCCCAGCAGCCCCCGAGGCGCAGAAACGTGCGCGAGACCGCGGGGCGGTCCCCGAGGCGCCCCCACCCCGGCCGGCGCCGCAGCCGGGCCCGCACTGCGCCCCCACGCGGAGCCCACCCGCCCCGAGGGGAGCGGGCTGCAGGCAGGGAGGAGGCGCACCGCTGCCGGGGGCTCCGGGCCAGGTGGGCAGCACCACGTGGAAGCAGTCGCACATCGCGGCGGCCGGGCGGTGTGGGCCGGCGGCGGCCCGTCGCGTCCAGTCGCGGGTCTCGGCTCCGGCGCGCGGGCTGCCCGGGGGCGGGCGGGCGCCGCGCTCTGCCTCCGCGGCCGGCGCTGCGGCTGGCGGCCGGCCTCGGACTGCGGACAGAGCCCGCACCCCGCGACCCTGCTGTCGCCCGGACCCCGCCCCGGCCCGCCCAGCCGGCCCGGCCACTGCGGAGCGAGGGCGGGCGGCGCCGCCGGCCTCATTCAGCCCATTGGCTGCCGCCCGCCAGGCCCCGCCCCTCGCACCACGCCCCCGGGCCCGCCCCGCCCGCGTAGCGCCTCTGGTCCGACCCCCGCCCCGGGCCCCGCCGCAGCCCAGCCCCGCCCCGCGCCCCCTGCCGGCCTGTCCCCGCCAGTGAGTAAGCTTCGGACCCCCGCCAGGGAGGGGTCTCCAGACGCCCCATCGAAGCTCCCGGATTCGACTCGACCCGCGCGCCGGTCTTACCTCCCAGTCCGGAGACGGCCGTTTTTGACACAAGCTGGGGTACGGGGCACCCTGAGGGGGCCGTAGGGGCAGGAGCTCAGAGAGAGAGAGGCTTGTGACCTGACCCGACGGGCCCTGCCCTGGATGTGTGCCCTGCGGGGTAGCACGGTGCGGCGGTGGGGGCGGGGGCACGGTCCTGGAAGGCCAGGACCTCAGGAGTTTGAGAAGTGTTCTGCACAGAGGCAACAGACTGTTGTGTGTGCAGAGGATGGGAATGAGAGAGCCAGCACTGGTGCTCGGGGCTGTGAGCTCGGCCCAGTGGGGCTGGGGGCAGAGGGCAGCAAGTCTGGGCCTGGGAGCTGAGCAAAGACCACCCAGGAGGCTCGGGGGTGGGGGGGGTCCCTGGAGGGGCACTGCTGGAAGTCAGGAGGCCTGCGAGAGGGCAGGGGCTGGACCAGGGGGGCGAGGTGAGGAGGGAGCCTGAGGATCCGAGATGCTCTGGAAGCTGGCAGAGGGGACCCAGAGAGATTGGAGTGGGGATGGGTGGGAACCACCCTGGACTCTAGCTTGGGTGTTGTGCAGAGGGAGGCATGTCTAGGGGAGTGGGCAGGGAGAGGGCAGGTCCAGGAGGATTCTGTTTCCCTGTTAGTAGGGAGGTAGCTGAGGCCCAGCCTTGTGTGGATGTGAGGAAGGGCACCTTGGGGCGTATGACTTCTGCTGGGCCTCGGCGTGGGGAGCCTGGGCCAGGACAGACCCTGGAAAGCATGGCCACCACCAAGGAGGGCCGTTCCCGGATGCTGCCTGGGATGGGCTGGTGGTGCTGCAACTGACGAATGGACACACACACACACACACACACACACACCCCTTTTCCTGGGGTGGAAAGAGGCCAGACTGCAACAGGAGCACCACACAGACTTGACACAGAGACACACATAGACACACACACGACACAGATAGACACACCCGCCAACACACAGACACAGATCTACTTCTACATGTCCCCATGCACTCAGAGACAGGCACACACACACTCATACACGTGCAACCTCTCAGGCCCACATGCCCAAATATGCACAATAGGACAGAGACCCACACATGCGCACACCACTCCCGGGCTGGCTTGGGGATGCACACAGCCGGCAGGCCCAGGTGAGCCTGCCCAGTGGGATGACTCATGCTCGGCAGTTCCCGTTAGCCGGGCTGCAGCCGGGCAGCCTTCCAGCAGCAGGTCAGACAGACACGCACATCACTGCCGGGAAGAGGCCCTGGCAGCCTCCCGCCCCTGGAGCCCATGGCACAATGGGCACAGCCCTGTCCTTCAGGTGGGGACCCTGGGGCATGGTCTCAGGCCTCCTGCCCTCATGTCTTCTTTTGGGCTGGGCAGCATTGCCCAGGGGCCAGAGACCCTGTGCTCGCCTCTCTCCCTGAGGACCCACCCCGCTCTGTCCGTCCAGGAGCCAGTCATTCGTGGGCACAGGGAGGAAGCGTTCTCTGTGTCCCTGGGTGTGCCCAGCGTCTGCCTGGGTCCACTGGGGGTCTCAGCCTGCCTGTCCTGTGTGTGTGTGAGTCTGACTGTGGGGGCCTGGGAACAAGGGGTAGTCTTGCACAATCAGGAACCTTGGGGCACAGACCCAGCTTTGTGTCCCCCTGCCCCATTAGGTGTGTGACCCTGGGCTCCCGTCCAAATGAAGTGGCCTCACTCCATGTGACATACCCTGATTGTCCGGCATGATGCATATGGGGCTACAGTGGCTCCTGTCAGCTCTGCGGGGAGGAGATGGATGGAGCTCTGGGTGGGGAGGCCAGGGGGCTGCCCCACCTAAGCAGAGGCCAGGAAGAGAGGGGTCTCCATAGCTGCCGAAGAAGAATTTGAGCCACGCACCACGGTGTGGACAGCCCCTGCCCTTGCCCAGCCCTTGTGCAGTCGAGTGGTCCCTGGGACCTCTGGCTGGCCAGGGCTAGAGGAGGCTGGGGCAAGGACCCTCCCTGGGGCCACTCCAGCCCTTGGTCTTGGTGAGGGCTGGGCAGCCTTATACTGTCCTGCGGGGGCCTTGGTCAGTCTGCAGCCAGGGAGTTGACTCAGCACTGGCTCTGGGCCCCAGATTCATGATAGGGGTGGGCAGGGACCTCCCCCGACCCTGGGGCTGCCCCCTCTCCTCTCCTGCCTGCTCTGAGGCAGGGGGCTGGCCTCATCTGCTGTGCTCACCCCCACATGCCCCCTGGCGCCCTGTGGGAGGGCCTGGCCCCTTGGGCAGTGTACCCCACAGATGGTTGGCCACAGCTATGTAGAGGGAGATGGCCCATAAGTTGGCCCTCACCCCCCGGGGCCAGCCTGCCTCCTCCCGACCATCCTTCCTCCTGCCTGTGGGGACCTTGGGAGCCCCAACCTGGCCCCAGGGTCACAGGACCAGAGAGTGGAGCAAGCTACCTGGGTGGGACCCATGAAGCCCATCTGTGCCACTCCTTGCCCATCCCTGCCCCCAGTCAAAGCCTGGCCATGCGCCCGCCACAGAGCCCTGCCCTGCCAGGAGCTCCCGTCATAATGCCTGGCTTCAGCTTGTCCCGATGTCCCCCTCTGGGGACAGATACTCGGCTGGGGAAAGCCACAGCAGCTGGGCATGGCTCAGGAATTGCTGGCCCTGTAGAAGCATGGGGACATGGACCCAACTCACAGCCACCTCTGGCACACACAAGGCCCCACACCATCTCTGATTGTCACCCCACAGAGGGGCCTGGGTGGTTCTGGGGAGCCCCATGCTCTCTCCTGTTGACACAGGCTTGACCTCCTCCCTAGGACCGCCATGCCAGGGACATCGGGGCCTAGTCTAGCCGTGGCCTTGGCCTGCTGGTCAGGGGTCTCGGGCTTTCCAGAAGCCTCCTGAGGCGGGGTTCCTGGGTACCAGAGCCCAGGGTGCAGGGAACTGGTGGGGCCAGAGTGAGGAGCTGAGGCTAACGGCCATGTCTCTGCAGGCCCTGCCCCACTCCCTGCTGGCAGCTCGCAGCCGCTTCAGGCATGCAGGGATGCCCAGAGCATCAATGATTGATGCCTCCTTGCAGCAGCCACAGCAGCGTAAGCAAAAATAGCTCTGCTTTTGTCCCTGCCCTCAGCCAGCCCAGCTAGAGGGGTATAACAGGCTGTGGGGGTATCTGGGAGCTCCTCAGCTGCCATGTGTCCTCCCACCCAGTCCTTTGCACAGAGGCAGTGGGGGAGGGCTCAAGGTCTGCTGGCCTCTGGCCCCTAACTGCCTCACTCTCCCCTAAGCTGAGTGCCTGCTCTAGGCCTGGCGCCCTCCTCCACTCACCCCAAGGACTCAGGTCGGAGGACGCCAGAGGAGCAGGACACCAAGGTGTTTCCCAGGGTGAGGGACCCCTCCCCATCACTCAGCAGGTGAGGCTGGGAGGCCCAGGATACTGTGGGGCTCTGGGCGGAGTGGAGGCCAGCTGCTTCCAGGATACAGGCTTGGCTGCCCTCACCCCCATTCAGCAGGGCTGGGGCTCAGGGATGGACTGAGGTGACCTGAGGAGCCCGGGAGGGCCACATGGGCTCTTTCTCCTGACCACACTGCACCCACCCCCTCCATGGCCCCTGGGGGAATCGTGGCCTGTGTCCCCTGCACCCCCACTTTAATGGGGACCTGCCTCCTCTGGCCAGTCTCCCCCAGCAGGTGAAGCCTTTTACACTTGAACAGCTGTCTGCCCTACCCCTGATCCGGAGGCTTGGCCTCAGCTCATGCCCCATGTCCTGCCCAGTCTGCCCAGACAATGGCCTGAGGAACCAGGGGCCACTGGCAGCTACTCGTGCTGTCCCCACCCCCTCCTGCAGCCAGGGCTGGGCACCCAATGTTGGGGTCACCTCTGCCGCCTCCTCTGAGTCTTGGCTCCCCCAGCACCTCCTTGGTGGGATAGCCAGGGGTCACTCAGGAATCAGTTTCCAGTGGCTGCTGTAACAAAGAACAGCAAACGCAGTGGCTTAAACCAACACAATTTCTTCTCTTACAGTCTCGGGTGTCAGGAGGGCTGCGCTCCTTCTGGAGGTTTCAGGGCAGATCCTTCTTGCTCATTTCAGCTTCTAGAGGCCACCTGTGTTCCTTGGCTCATGGCCCTGCATCAGTTGACCTCTGCTTCCATCTTTCCATCTTCTCTCTCCAACTCTGAGCCTCCTGCCTCCCCCTTGGAGGGGCCCTTGTGATTACACTGGGCTCAGTGGCCTAACACAGGACCATCTCCTCATCTCAAGAGCTTTAACTTACTCACATCTATAAGGGCCCTTTGCCTTGTAAGGCCCCACATTCACAGGTCCTGGGGATCAGGAGGCAGACAGCTTTGGCAAGATTCAGCTACCCCACCAGGTGATGCAGATCAGCCCACCCTCGGGCCTGTTTTGTGGGGTCATTTTATCCTGCACCCTGAGGGTCACAGTGCCATCCTCTCTCTTCCCTGAGGTCCAGGCAGGCCGTGGGGAAGGGCTGAGGGTCAGAAGAGCTGGTTCTAGCCCTGGCAACACTTCCCACTTAGGCCTTTGGGCCTGGGCCTCAGTTTCCCATCCTGTACATGAGGACAACACTCCTCCTACCCCTTTCCAGCTCCCTGGTCTTCAAAGATGGCAAGGAAAGTGGATGAGGAGGTCCAAGCAGTGGGTGACAGCAGGACCACCTGGGGCCGACACTATCCCCAGGTGACATCAACGCAGGAGAGAGCTGGCATCTTGTCACCTTCTCGCAGTCACCCCAGTGTCAGCCCAGCTCTGGGCAGTCTGACTGCATTGCTCGCACAGGCATTGCTGGCTGTTGTGCCCCTCAGGAAGCGGGGGTGGTGGGGATGGACAGGAAGCGGCGGTCCAGTGTTCAGGGAATGATCTCATCTGGTAATTTTTAAAATTAAAATTTTCAGTAGTTTGGCTGAGAAGGACCAGGGAGCGGGTGATTCATGCAAACAGGACAGAGCCCAAGGAGGTCACAGGCTGGAGAAATGTAAGCATGGAGGTAGAGGGGCAGGGTGTGCATCAGGGCTTCGGCCAGGGCCTGATGGCCGCGTCTGGGGAGGCTGAAGTCAAGCTCACTCATCAAGGTAGATAGGGAAAGACCTGGAATGCTGGGAGGGGAGCTGGCAGGAGGGCAAGGCTGACCCATTAGTACCCCTTGCCCCTGGGGCAGGTGGCAGCAGGAGGGGCTGGTTGTCTGTGGTCCCTACTGGCCCTGCTCTGCCTTGGGGCTGGCTGGTGACCAGGCTATGAATCAGGGCATGAAAGGGATGGGGTGGTGCCCCTCCTCCTGCCCGCAGGCAGCGGACCCTCATCCGCCCACACGTTAGGAGGGACTAGCTTCTGGGGACTCAGGAGCCCTCCTGGGGCCTCGAGTCCCAGGGAGAGAGCATCACACAGCCACGCAGACATCCCGGGCAGCGGAGCAGCCCACGAAACAGCAGGCAGCGGGGAAGGGCTGCAGCAGCCGCGGGGTGTGTTGGGAGGGTAATGGCGGGGCAGCACGGCGCCTGCGCATCCCCGGCCGCGGGGCCGTGAAGGACGTCCCCTCCACGTGGGGCCGCGACACGACGGCTCCTACAATCAAATAGGAGCCTCCCCGCACGCCGCGCCGGAGAGGTACAGGACGGACCCCGCCCACGCTCAGCAGGCGAGCCCCTCCCTGCTCCCTTTGCCCCGGCCTGCGCAGGCGCAGGGGGCGGGGCCTGGTGATACCACGCCCCGCGCGGCGCAGGCGCTTTGACGTCACGACGGCGGACGCCGGAAGCAGAGCCCCCGCACGCCGTTGCCGGGCAACGGGCCGGCGCGGGCCTTGGGGTCGGTGAGCTGCTGGCTGCGCCCGCGCGGAGGCGGCGGCGCAGCGCGGCGAGGTGGGTGCGGGCCCCAGCTGGACACCCAGGCCCGAGCGCGCCCAGCCCGTCCCTCGGGAGCCGCCGCCTCGGACCCGGCCCGGGCTGCCCTGCGGCCCGCCCCGCAAGGGTCCCATCCCGACCTACCGTGGGAACCTCTGGGTGCCCGGACTCTTACCCCCTGGCCAGACTGGGCCTCCGGACCCCTGCCCACCCGGCCGGGGCGGGACCCCGCAGCGCGCCCACCCTCCCCGGCTGAGCCGACCCCGCAGCGCCTTGGTCTCCGGGACAGGCCCCTGTGCGGGACTGGTCGTCGGCGTGTAGGAGGAAGCCGGGCAGCCCCGCTCACTTTCCCCTGGGTGACGAGGCTGCGGGTGTAGTTTGTGTCCGTTCCACAGCGACACTGGACCCACACCAGGCTATTCACACTCCCGAGGAAGCCACCAGCAGCTACTGGGCAGCGGCGAGCAGGCGGCCCCCCAGGCCCTGTCCAGCCCTGGGCAGCCCCAGCACAGCAGTGTGTATGTCTCCTGAGCATCTTCCTGGCGCGTCTGTGCGGGCCTGGCGGCACCAGCATGCAAGGCCAGCCGGAGCTGGGGGGAGCGCCTGGCCAGGTGCTCCCTCCCAGCGGGTCTCTGAGTGACCTCGCAGAGGGAGCAGGCGAGGTTTCCCTCCACCAGGCTTCTAAAGACAGCGGTGCAGGCGAGACACCTGGGGCACAGAGTGGCGACGATGTGGAGTGGGTGAGAACCCGCTCCCAACTCCCTCCCACAGATGGGGACGCCGGGATCCCCGGGCGCAGTGAGGGCTTTACCACCTGCACCACCAGTGGTCCGGACCCAGGGGAACACAGCGGTGCCTGGGGGGAGTTTGAGGGCTTTCGGGAATCTTCAGCCAAGTCTGAACAGTTCTCTCAGTCCTTTGGACTCCCGGAGAGGCCCACGGAACCTCTGCTGCCGAGAACTCCTTCTGCCCAAAAGGAGCGTGGTTCTCGCCAGCCTCACCGGGGTGGACCCCGGGTGAGTGGGACGGCCACTGTCCCACCTTCTGAGGTATTTCTCAAGTTCTCTTCTTCACCATGTTGCACAGGAAGTGTTTTATATGCTGCAAGGCCGGCAGACCTCAGGCCTTGGTGGGCTGGCCAGGGAAGGGATCTGCTTCTCTCCTGGGCTTCGTGCTCCTGAGCCAGGGAAGGAATGAGGCTGCAGAAGTGGAGCTGGGCCGCCCTCTCTGCTCACTCCTCCCTGGGTCTAGCCACATTGGCCCCCACCTTCCTCTCCTTCCTTAGGCCTCCACCTCCAGTCCACCTGCTTCCATCAACCCAGCTGTGCTTTCCTGGCCCTAGTTCAGGGCACGAGGGGAACTGAATTGTGGTCTGAATAGTCAGTCTACTTATTTAGAAAACTTCCCCGAGAGTCACATTTCAGCCTATGTAATGACCAGGCGTTGGAGCCAGCCCTGAGTGCCCAGCCTCGTCCCCCTTGCCCCTCACTCTGCCCTCCTGACTTGACCACCAGTGTTCACCTCTTTTCTGACAGCCTCTGACCCTTCTTTTTCTTGTCTTCCTCTTCCTTTCATTGCTCCTCTTTCTCTGCCATCTCTTCCTGATAGTTTACCCCAGACACTATAAGACAAAAGTACAAAAACAGTAACGGAAGAAGGGAGGAGAGAAGGTTCTGCAGGTTCTGGGGGTGGCCAGTTTTCTAAACCAGTCCGTGTTTTCCTGGAGCTCTGACGAGATGCACTCATCACGCTGTCAACTCTGCCGTAACGCTAGTTTTGAAAACGGGACTTGTCTGCTAATGTGACTGATGCATCAGGGAACAATCTGAGCAGAGTGCAGAGTTCGCAGGAAACACCAGGCGAATGCAGAAAACCGCGCCCTGCAGATCAGAGGCGTGTGGGAAGACACAGCGCCCACGGCACCGCAGCCGCCTGGCATTACGCACACACCCTCACCTGGCGCTAGGATCCCGCCCACCCTCAGCCAGCCTCCTCCCAGCTCTTCACACTCGCTCACAACCTGCTAACCTCAGAGCTTTTTTCAATAAATATCATATTTATTGTAGCATGGAAGGATTTCTTAACCAGCTGACACGTGGGAACTGTGCTAACGTTTTCGTTGGTGTCTTTTTCACACGTCACTCACGATGTTTATAAGTCTTGAGCCCTAGGCCCACTTTTCCCGTGTGCCCTGTGGTTCCCACCACGTGATTTGCACAGCCCAGTGATTCTGAGGAAGGAATACGTAATGTTGTGGTAGCAGTAACAATACAATCATTTACAAATGTCATTTGTACCAAAATTATGCATTTGGAATAAGCTGACATGATGTGTGTATTTCTCCTAACTTTGGGATGTTTTTCTCTTTTTTTCAGCCCATTCTCAACTATGAGAACATTTTTAGGTTTGCTTTTCAAGAAGTACCAGTCCAGCAGACAACTGAAGATGTTTCCACCTTAGACCTTTTCTTAGAAATAAGCAGTGAAGAAAAACCTGGCCTGGGATCTGTACATAAATTGTGGTAATGAACTTGAATTGCAACCAACATTTCTTCTAGCAGCTCTGCATTGATCCCGTCGGTTGATAAAGTGGATGCATGAGGCCATTTGTTGTTACCTTTATAGAAAATTTCCGGCCACCTTTGGGTCACAGGGTCCCCATGGGGGGACCGGTCAGCACAGGTTGATGGTCTGCCCGTGACCCCTCCTCTCAGAGCCATGTTCAGCCTCTGCCTCCCCCTCCCCCGAAAGCTCACCAGGAGCAAAGTAGACCGGGTGGTGCCAGCTCCTCGTGTCTCACTGCGAGTGCTGGGGTGCAGGGGGAACTGGTGGGCCTGGGCAGTGGGCACAGGGACCTCCTGGAGGCCTCAACCACAGTGAAAACACCCCAGTGCCGTGGAGGGACATTCTCAACCCCCAGGGTCAGCCTGCCTGTGTTCTGGGGCTGCCTGCAAGGCTGCAGGTCCCTGGGGCCGGTTGCCTGAGGGAGTCACCACCGCAGTTGTTTCCAGATGCCCATGTTCTAGACACCCTTGCACGAGCTGTGAGAGGAAAATAAGGTTAACTTGGGGTGTGCGATGGGGTGGGGAGCTCGAGGCCTGCTGGCCCGAGACCCCAGCAGGTGGTGAAGCTGGTGTGAGCCAGCTTGCTGGTTCCTCTGCACTCTGCTGAGCAGGCTGAGCTTAGTCCGAGAGCTCTGCAGTCAGGCCTGCTGCCGGGTCCAAGGCAGTGACTGCCCCAGGGCACCCCAGCGCATGCTGGGGACAGAGGCCGGGAGCCCCAAGGGCGGTGACCCCATTGCCCAGATGGCTGGCATGCCTTCTGGGTGTAGTGTTTCCCCAAGGCCTGGTGCAGGCCTGTGGGTGGGTGGGTAGAGGGGCCTTTGGTGGCACTGTGAGCCTGGGTGTGGGTGGCCTGGGTGAGGGCCTGGGCAGGAATGGACACTGTCGTGGGCTGCAAGGTTGGTGTCATCCTGGGTGCTGAGGCACAAGGGTGATCTGGAAATGACTTGGGCACTTAGCACATCCATGCCTGCTGTGGTTAGCCGTGTGCCACGTTACCCTCCCTGCTGGCAGGCGGGCTTAGCACCCATGATGGTGCGTGACAGCCACTCATTCACTGGTTCACTCCTCCGGGTACGCGGCCTCCCCTTAGTCTGGGAGCATCTTCATGGCGCCCAGAGTGGTTCTAGGCACCAGAGATCACTGGGGAACGAGACCAGCGGAGTGTCTGGCCTCACAGAGCTTCTGCCCCTGAAGGGAACACTCAGTAATGAAAATCAGTCAGCACAGGGCTTTGCTGTGAGGAGAGAATAAAGCTGGGGGGGTTGGTGCTGGGGTGGCTGCAGCCTGGTGGGTGTGGATTCGATGAACGAACAGATGAGGGACCCCGCCCAGACGCCTGAGGGGTGCTCTGTTTGAGGAATTCTGCAGGGTCAGGTGCCCCTCTTCTATTCCAAAGGTTTCCTAGGTTACCTTGTAATTAATGCATCTCTCTTCAGTTCTGAATCTAGAAAACTCTGGAGAGCTCTTCAGAACACAGACACCACGTTGACATCCCAATGCCTCTGGAGCGAGTCCCGCTGCCAGGAAAACTACTTTCTCGTTCTCGGAATAGATGCTGCTCAGAAGGTGAAGTGATTTAGGTGGAGACGGGCTCCTGGGGGTGCGGTGGGACCTCGCAGCGACTTTGCTCGCCACCCTGTGGCCACGGCACACCTCAGAGAGCCATCTGCCCAGCCAAGGGGGAGGCCTTGCTGCCCTTTCTCCTGAGGTGATGCAGCTGCTGACTCTCAGAAGGTGACTCTGGCAGGGTAGGGGGACGGGACGGGGCGAGATGGGGCGCCCCTTGTCTGACTTGGTCAGCTCGTCGGTGTTAGGCACCTGCCCGGGGCCAGGCCAACAAGCATCCAAGTGTGCCCGGCCCTCAGCCCGAAGTGAAGGAGGTGCCACAGCAGAACGCCGTGAGTACACCCCCTGCCAGGAGGGCAGGCCCCTGGGGGAGCTGTGCAGGGTGGAGAAGTCGGCCAGGGTACGGGCGGGGCAGGAGTGTCCTCTGTTTGGGGGCCACAGGGCGAATCTGCACCACAGGTGCTGATGGAGGTGGTGGGTGTGGGGGCCGGGGGCTGCAGCGGGCCCAGGGCAGGGCAGGGGGCTCTGGCATGGACACAGTGAACATGGGTGCCACAGAGCAGGGGGTACAGGTAGAGGCGTGGCATCAGCCACAAGGTGGGTCCCTAAGGCCACGACCAGAGGCCACAGCACACAAGTCTCACTGGGTGCACTGGTCTCACACCAACTTACACAGGGTCAGGCTCATGGGTTATCAAAGAAAATGCAAATTAGAGTGGGGGCTGCCTTCCAGCAATCGTGTTGGCAAGGACCTTTTTCCATTTTTAAAAGCATTATGGAAATTTTCAAACATGAAAAACTCAAAAGGGGTGGCCGACAAGCCCCGGTGAAGATCGGGCACAGGAATGGTGGTCATGTTGGCCCAGGGCCACACTGAGTGTCCAGGAAGGAAGTGAGGGGCCGGAAGGAGTGAGGAGGCCCCCGAGAGGGCCACCCTGGCTGTGTCTTCGTGCAGGGAAGTCAGGGGGCGCAGGGGGAGGCTCAGAGGAGGGACAGCTCCAGGCCATGGCAGGCCAGGTGGCTTAGCCGGGAGGTGGCAGCACAGACCTCTGTTGAGTGTCGAGGGCACTGTGGTTCTGAGGGACAGGGTGGCCAGGAGCCAGGTGACAGGAGGGCAGGGCCTGGCCGGCCACCCACAGAGTGTTCACACAGTCACCGCATTTTGCCGTTGTGCGGTGCGATGTGCGGGAGGGGCCTAGGTGAGAAAGAAGAGCAGGGGGAAAACAACCTGTGAGCTGCCTGCCCACGGCTGATGGCGCTGTCTCCCCAGAGCCTCTCCGGGGGCCAGGGCCACACTGCGGAAGGCCCAGATCTCAAGGAGCCCGGGGACCCCAGTGCGCACGGCTTCCGTCTGCACCGCTGCAGAGCGCTGATCCAGACCAAGGTGAGCCACCCCAGGGACGGGGTTTGGGGCCATGCTGGCTGCTGGGCCTCCGTGTTTGAGTCACTAACTTCTTTTCTTTAATTCTTGGGGACTTGTGAAAAAACGGCGTTCACTTTCCATGGCAGCCAGGCAAAGCGTTACCGCGGCAGGACGCAGGTGCCGTCCAGAGCCCCGAGGGGAGGGCCCGGTGGGAGCATGGCAGGGCTGCAGGGAAGGGCAGGGCAGGCAGGGCCGCGGCCGACATCCAGGTCTGAGGGGGCAGCCGCGGGGTCTGTCCAGAGCCTTCCTCCGTGGCCTGAAGTTCCTGCCGCAGCTGCCAGCGTCCCCTGTCCCTGTGGGGCTCGAGGCAGAAAGAGGGTGGGTGGTAAGGGGCCTCTTCCTGTGGCCCTCTTTTCTTAGGGCAAGGAGATCCCTTCCTGGGAACGGGGTCTCCTGCCCACCCTCAGACCAGGGATGTGAGGAGCGCCATGACCAGGCCAGCCACCTTGGCGCACGCTCTGGCCTGGAGGGGTGCTCCTCCTTCTGGGAGCACACGTAGCCGGGCCCCTGGAGTATGCGTGGGGTTCACTGTACACACCAGCCCCGGCCCCGGCCCCGGGGAGCCGCCCATGGTGGCACGTCCATCATGAGGATCTGCTTTGACAGCCACGGGTGCGGAGAGTGCGGGGAGCGGAGGGGCAGGCACAGGCTGCTGCACGCGGCTGCTGGGAGGGACGAGGCAGTGGGCAGGAGCAGAGGGAGCAGGGCTTTCAGCAGGAGTGGGGTTTTGGGGCGAGTGGCTACCCAACAGGCGGAGCCGGGTGCCGGGGCACACAGGAGAGGGCCCTCGCCATCCAGGCACACGGCCGTTTCCAGGGGTGCCGGGGCACACAGGAGACGGCCCTCGCCATCCAGGCACAAGGGGCCGTTTCCAGGGGTGCCGGGGCACACAGGAGACGGCCCTCGCCATCCAGGCACAAGGGGCCGTTTCCAGGGGTGCCGGGGCACACAGGAGAGGGCCCTCGCCATCCAGGCACAAGGGGCCGTTTCCAGGGGTGCCGGGGCACACAGGAGACGGCCCTCGCCATCCAGGCACACGGCCGTTTCCAGGGGTGCCGGGGCACACAGGAGACGGCCCTCGCCATCCAGGCACACGGCCGTTTCCAGGGGTGCCGGGGCACCCTGCATTCATCTGCTCTTTGGAGGACACCACAGGGCAGGAGACGGAAACTTCTAGAGAGAATGGTGAGGCCATCTTAGAGCAACAAGACATGGACATGTCCATGGCGGCATCATTCACGGTGGCCCACTGGGGCGCGGCGTCATTCACAGTGGCCCACTGGGGCACGGCGTCTACCAGCAGCTGTTAGGTGGAAAGTCGTAGTTGGTCAAGCAGTGGACACTGCAGGGTGAGAGCGTGAAGGGTGGTGGCGTCCTCCACAGACTGCCAGACACACAGCACAAGGGCCCTGTGACCCCACTGCAGAAACGGGACCCGCAGGCCAGGGTCACAGAATCACTCGGGATGAGGAGCCCGGTGCAGCCCCAGGCTCTTTGCACACACAGGTGGCATCCTCACGGCGAGGTCCTGCCGTTTGCTCCGGGAGAGGTCATGGAGCCCTGCGCCCTGCCCACTGTGGTTACACTGCGTAATGAGGCGCTTGCGGCCGCAAGGGAGAGGAGGAGGAATGTCGGGCAGAGATGGGGCCCTCGGCGCTGAGGGCCCTGGGCGGGTGGGCAGGCGGGCAGGCGGCCCACTGGCGTCACTAGCCGCTGACCACATCCTTTCTTCCCCGTCAGCTCTCGGGGACGCCCGGCGGCAGACAGGGGAGCCTGATCACTTACAGCCTCTTTCTGAAGACGCCCTTCCACGGAAACACGCAGCACATCACATTTCCAAGGAAAAAGAAGATGTTCCCTCCACGTAACCTAAAAATGATGTTGTTTAACAGTAACGTTTGCTAAAACGGAGCACTTGGTATCTTTCTGAGGAATTTTACATTTTCTTACTGTTGGGTTTAGTACTGGAAACCAGAACTGTTTTGTGGAGGGGTTTCCCAAATCCCAAGGCAGTGTCCCGGATACTCCGTGGAAACCTGCCCTGCGCCCACCAGCCGATTTTAGGGTCTCATCAGGTCAGATGGAGGCTGCGGGCTTCGGCAGAGCCCATCCTCACCAAGAAGGGGGCGCCTGTGAGGAGCCCAGGGCCGGCTGCCTGTTCTGCACTGCCTGGGGGCACCAGGGGCCTCGCTCAGTTGGGGCCATCACTGGGGACAGCTGTCCAGGCACCTCTTAAGTCCTGATGGCACCCCATCACACCTCATCCCCACGGGCACAGGCAGGGTTGAGGGCACACGTGAGGGGTCGAGGTCTGCTGTCCCCAAAGCGTCATGAGCGCTCGCCTACCGAGCACCCACCCAGCGGCCTCTCCGCGCCCTCATCGGCAGAGGTGGCGAGCCAAGCAGTGGCACTGATTTTTGTAAGATTTTATGAAATAAATGAGCCCGGATAAGCCCATGTTCTTGCTCATTCATCCGCTCTGCGGGGACTGGGGGGGAAACCCTGTCACTCCAGCCCGCCCTGGAGGCAGCCCCTCCTGGTCCTCAGGGCAGGCCTGGGGGGCCGAGGCTGGCAGACTGTCCAGCACACGTGCCGTGGGAGCCTGGCTGTCGCTGTCCCGCCAAGGCCACACTTGAGGCTGGGAGACCACAGCCGGAGGCGACCTCAGATGCCAGCTGCATCACCCAGGTGTCTGACCCAAATAGTGGCACGGTGGGGCTGCATGGTGACTGGCAGATTTCCCCTGTCACTGTGCACCCCACGCCCTTGGCCACTTGCCTCTGCCATGCCACACATGGCTGGAAGCGCATGTGAGGGGCAGGACAGGTTTTTTGGCACTGTATGTTTGGAAATCTGCCTTAATTTTTCATTTTCAGCCAGAAAGAAGTGGCAATTTGAAACTGCTTTTCTGCAAGGCTGCTTCTGCCAAAGGGCAGCATCCACCTTTGGGTCTCCTGGGGACCGGCCAGTTTCCCAATCTTTAGTTAAAGTCAGGCTCAACAACCCAAAGTATGCTGTCCTGCGCTCTGCCTCCTCCCCCAGTTCAAACGCAGACGCTGGGCTCACTCCATCCCCCCACCCTGCCCTGCCCCGCTGGCTGGAAGCTGGCACCTCCCAGCCCAGCCAGTCTAGCGGCCAGCCGGCTCTCACCCGAGAGTCCCAGACTCGGCAGGTCCCCGGTCTGCACTCTGCCCCAGCCCCCGGCTCTGCTGTCCAGCTTCTCCGTCAGTGAAGGGTGCCACCACCTAACACGTTCCCCGGCCAGAGCCGTGGCCCACCCCCCTCACTGCCCGTCCCTCAGACATCAGGTCTGCAGGGCTGGCTCTGCTTCAGTCCTGAGTCTGCCCAGGCTGCTGCAGCAGGGGCCTTTTTGAACTGGGAGACCTGCACACATAAGTGCCAACTGGTCACTTCTGGCTCAGACGTACAAGTTGTCAGAGGCGGTCATGCTCACCCTGACCAGAACAAGCCCAACCAGCTACAAAACCGTGGTTTGGAATCATCAGCTCAGGATACAAAGAAACCTAAAGTGACTAAGCGAAGGCCGAGGCCCCCGGCCGCTCATCCCCAGGGTGTGAATGAGGAGAAACGCCAGAGCCTGGGGGGCCGGCGGCAGGCCCGGACCACCTCTGGCTCTGCTCTTTGCTGGATGCCTGGAGTAGAGTGCCCAGAGCTGGGGGTAAGGAGGGAGGGCTGAAAGGAACTGCCCGGAGTGCATGGGGCTGGAGGAGGCAGCCTCTCTCAGGAGGTGGGGGCCCGAGGGCTGAGAGACACCCCCGCTGGTGGGCATGCTGGCGTTCCTGCTGCCAAGCCTGGAGGTTTGCAGGGCAGCCGTGGGCGCTGTCTGGGGCATCCCAGGGTGGGGCCTGCCCTCCACAGGCTGAGGAAGAGGCAGCAGGGCGGAAAGGCCTGGGTCAGAGAGTGGAAAGAACCCCCAGGGAGCTAAAAACAAGGCAGCTGGGCTGTGAAGTGCAGGCTGACCTCCAGCATCTTGCCCGCTCAGACCCCAGGCCCTGCGGAGGCAGGAGTCTGGACAGCAGCCTCCAAACACGGGCGTCCAGCCCAGCGGACGGCAGGCGAGGCAACCCAGCTGCCGCTCCAGGAACGGACAGGATAAGTGCCGTCTACCCCAGTCTCTGCGGTTCTCTCACAGTGTCTGGCACACAGCCAAACATCACAGACAAGGAGAAAGCAAGAAAAGGTGACCCGTGGTCAACAGAGGCAGAACCAGAGATGACCTGAACGGTACGAGTCAAAGACGGTAAAATAACTATGGCAGAAGTGAGGATCCAGGGAAAAGTGGACAACGAATGGGAAGAGATGGAAAATTTTAGCAGAAACATGGAAATTATAAAAAAGAACAAAATGGAAATGCTTGAAATGAAAAATAGAACATTGTACATGAATATTATTTAGATGGTGTTAACAGCCTACCAGACAGCAGAGGAACAGACCAGGGGACTTGGCGAGTGGTCGACAGAACATACCCACACAGAACAGAGAGAACCGTAGGGAGACAGAACAGAACATGTGCTGATCTGCCGGCCAGCGGCGGACGGTGCACCCTGTGTGTAACTGGAGTCCCGAGCAGAACCGAGAGCAGAGGGCAGTGAGGAAATACAGAAGGACGGCGCACAGCGGGCACAGTGGCTGCAGGCAGACTCTGAAGTCCTCCCTGGCTGCAGTAGCTTAGCCACACTCAGAAGCAGCTGGAAACACATCACTGTGACCCCTGCACCTCACCCGCAGCCCTCCCTCACCCGCAGCCCAGAACTTCCCAGCTGGGGGACAGGAGGGGTGGTGGGTGACCCATGACAGCCTTAGCCAGCTGTGGCTGACGCACCTTCCTTTTGCAAAGTTTACAAAAACATGTGACTGGGGCCGGCCCTGTGCCCAAGTGGTTAAGTTTGCGTGCTCTGCTTCAGCAGCCCAGGGTTTCACTGCTTCAGATTCTGGGTGCAACATGGCACTGCTCATCAGGCCACCCTGAGGTGGCGTCCCACATGCCACAACTAGGACCCACAACTAAAAAATATGCAACTATGTACCGGGGGCCTTTGGGGAGAAAAAGGAAAAAAATTTTAAAAATCTTAAGAAAAACATGTGACCTTGGCACACAGGAGCCTGGGGGACCTGAGTCCTCGCTCCCACATTCAAATCCTCGCTGGCAACTGGTCACCCTCCTCCGCTCCTCCCTGAAGAACCTCAGAAGTTTCCAGGGGAACCAGCCAGCCCTGCCCGGGACATCCGGGCCACCAGCACCCCAAGGGGGCCCCAGAGTGAGTGGGCAGCTGGAAAGAACCCACAGAGCCAAGGGAGGGCAAGTCTCCGGCCCATCAGGGTCAGCAGGTGGAGATGCCAAAGCTGGCAGCCCACCCACAGGCCTGCCCCGAGCCTCACTCCCGAGTACGGCATGGCCCATGTCCTCCGAGTGTCTGACAAATTTTTTTTTTTTTGAGGAAGATTAGCCCTGAGCTAACTACTGCCAGTCCTCCTCTTTTTGCTGAGGAAGACTGGCCCTGAGCTAACATCCGTGCCCATCTTCCTCTACTTTATATGTGGGACGCCTGCCACAGCACGGCTTGACAAGTGGTGCCATGTCCGCACCCAGGATCCAAACTGGCGAACCGGGCTGCCGAGAAGCGGAATGTGTGAACTTAACCGTTGTGCCACCGGGCCGGCCCCCGCCTGACACTTCTGAAGGCTGGCACACAGACCCCACAGCTACTGCTGAGACCAAACAAATATTCTTAAAAGACAGAATGCCACAGAGACTCAAAGCTTTAGGTTTATTGCTTATAAAACACACACACTTTAAACCACGTTCCACGAGAAGAAAATACTTTCAAAATCTGAAGGAAGCAACTGGGGATGTTGCGAGCCAGCCCCTGCATTTCACCCGCAGCTTCCCGAGAGCCCAGGCACGGTGCAGCACGAGGGGAAGGGCACTCCAAGCGCAGTGCCTTTCCGCCTCCACCAGGCGCACAGAACCAAAAAGGAAACAGGTCCACTCGAGGACTGTGACGTGGAAGAGAATCAACAACACATTTGCTCTGTGCTGGGTAATTTTTAATACAGTGAGGTGGTCATTGCTGATTCTGAAGAACGGTCACATGCACAAGAAAGCAAACCTTTCTAAGGAAACAGGAAACGTGGCAGGGAAGGACAGTCTTACTTGTAAACCTGAGAAAAAGATCTCAAAGACATGGGCAGTCTCGGTGCCCAGTGCAGGGTCCCAGGGCACACACACCACACCATCAAACTTTTCAATGGCATGGCCCTGCCAACCCCACCGTCAGCTGCCCTCAAGATCAGGGGCATAAATTACACGCATCCAGATTTCTTTCATTCTAGACTTAAACTGAGTCTCAAAATCCTGTCTCAGCACCAGCCGAGGCGTGAGCACCCTCCAATCCAGCAGTACACGGACACACACCCGGCACACAGCAGCCTCTGCGCGTCGGCCCCACGAATGCAGGTCCAGCAGCCCAGCTGGTCAGGGGGCTCTGCAGCATGTGCCCGGGGCTGCCAGGGGGCCCCCGAGAGTCAGCTCCTCAGCAGGCAGTGCCCGAGATGCCTCAGTGTCTGAGCAGACGGCCAACTGCCTCCAGCGACACTTCTGTATAAACAGCCATAAATAAGACCCTCCGAAGGCTCCGAGTCTAACGGAGACACCGCTCGCACGGCAGGCCTGTGACGACAGCCGGACCCGCGGGGCGAGCGGGGCAGGGTGCAAGGGGCTCACTCACGAGTGCGAAT